GGTATGAAATAGACAGACTAGCATCACAGCTACATACATGAACGCATAAAAGCTAACATATCAAAGTGAGTTTACAATTTTTCTGGCTGGTCTGTGCTGTTGTGAACAAGATGGCAATTTTGGAATTGGATTTTGGAATTTGGGATTTTGGACTGGAATTTCCATTCCCTTCAATTACATGAAATTTTCAGACTCCATGTTCTCCTTATGTTCAACAACTGTGCTCCATATTTGAGAGCTCAACTTTTTCTTCTGTCTCTTTTTATTTAAACCTTGGACCTACAGGACAACAGTGCCTTGGACAAAAAGACCACCTGACAATAAAAAAAGCTAGACAAGCACAAACTGAAGAGCAGACAGATAACAGACAGAGAATCTAATATACGGACTAACCAACAAGGAACGTCACCCTACCTTGTGAACCGAGCCATGTCGCTGTCGTCTGTGTGGGGCTCATACAACATAGCCAGCAACTCTACCACAATGCTGTCTAGGTGGACTTGAATCATATTGTCGATAGTCTGCATGAGAGGCACAAAAAATCTCGGTTTTTGGAACTAATCAAATCTGTTTTTAAAGATATACTTTTTTCCCTGTAGTTAGGAACCCTCTGTTACCAAATTTCTAAAAAGAGACATGACCAAACTTACTTCCTTTCCCAAGGTGTTCTCGAGGGCATTGAAGCACGACACTGCCCTGATACGCCTCTCCCGGTATTCTTCGCTTTCAGTGTCCTCCTCTGCTAACCTCGTGTGTCCAAACAGGGGCAGGATGTGAGCAATGGATTGTGGGAAGGTGCCCTTCAGCAGCTCAATCCAGTCCGTGTCAAGGGCACCAGCGATGTCATGAATGGCGTCCAGGCTCTGCATGGAGACCAGGTGGGGGATGACCACCCTGTGGTACTTCCTGCGGAAAGAAGCATTATTCAGAGCAAAAACAAAAAGCAATTCCTGAGTGTTTGTCTTGATGTGTTTCAACGTACTCCAGATAGTGTGTAGCTCAGAAAGAAATTGAATCACATGTTAGCATGAAAGTAACGTTCAATGAGTCATGTCATGACATCGTTCCTAAATACAGCTTGACCTAGCTTCCTATTGCCAGGAGACTTGGTCCAATATTCAGCTTCTAGAATTCCCTGAGAATCGTTGGTGTGCATGAATTCAAAGAATTCAGATTGGCCAGGCATACTTTGCGGGGTGATGTGGCACAAATCTGCTTTACACCTGAAGAGTGAAGCATTTAAAGAAATCAGTCTGCTTCTGTCAACTTAAAAACTTGCAGTTTTGGAACATGGATTATTAAGCACCATCTCACCGATAGAAGTCTACCTCAGTCGAGCATGCCAGGAGCTGATGAGGAAATTGTGGGAGAACGTACTTCTCTGCAAGCCACTGGTGAATGAGGTAGCTCAGATGCGACTCTAGAAAGACGGTGACTGAGCTGTAATGGAGGCTGACCGATATGCTCTGCAAAACCTGGAGGAAAAATGTATAGAAATTTATCGTATTTGCAAGCACCCTCTGGAAAAACACCTTGATACACTGATTTCTTGGGTCACATGCACGATATGGTACAATTGGTTTAAATTTTGCTAAAGATAGTTGATTTTTCTTTGAGGGTCTCGAAATTCATCAGCCAAATGCTGAACATTTCTCTCAGCAGAACTTGCTCAAAATTTGAAAAGGGACTTCCTGAAAAGCGATTTGGGGCACCTTCTTCATGAGGGAAATCTCGATGCCATTGAGCTGGATTGCCTGCATCAAGGCAAAGACGGTCTTCTTCTCGCAGGCCGGGCTGCAGCGAGCCACGGTGGACAGACTGGTCAGCAAACTAGCCGTGCGATTGGCCGATTCATCTGTCCGCTCGTCGGTGCTCAGTCGCCCCTGTAGCAACAAGAAAATTCGAGGAACGGAGGTCTTGAAATAAATGTCACATTACTCACGACTTTTTCTAAGAATAGCTCTAGGCCTCTCAATACAATATAACACACAGCATCATCAATAAAGCAGAGTCTAGAACCGGCTATGGCTAATAACTGTAATACATCAACGTTAAAACAGCCATAGCCACAGAATTCTCAGTTCAGACATGACTGAATTTCCATGTGACATCATTACGTTATTACCTGAAGTTCCATAGCACGTTGCACCATCTGATAAACTGTGTCGAATGACTGGTTCTGAACTTCTTTGGTGAACGGTTTTCCATCGCTGCAAAACAAGCTAGAAACCAGAGGAATACATTTCTTCATGATAACAATATCAATTAATTTTGGATTTTGCCCTGCCCGACGTGTATTTTTATCACTGTATTCTCAGTGTATGCCCCCAAAGGCTTGTAAAAAACCCACAAGCGTACTCAGGTGGGACTCGAACCCGTGACCTCCTGAGTACACTTGTGGTTTTTCCACAAGCCTTTGGGGCCATACCCTGAGAAAACAGTGTTAAAATACACGTCGGGCAGGGCAAAATCCAAAATTAATTTACATCTCCGCGGCGCAAATCCATCTTTGAAACAATATCAACGTTATGTTGTATTACATTACATCTGCAACCAGGTAACTTTGCAAGTGAACTTGGTTGCTCAGTCATGTACGGAATAAGCCAGATGCCATCTTTCACAGATCTGTCGGACTACAATGCCCCAAATGTACTAGGCTTACATGTCTTTCGTATCAAATTTTGACAAACTATTTGCATCCAAAATATGGCCAAGAAATCTGGCCGTGGTGTGAGACTCACCACTGGATAGCCGAGGCCATGAATATTCTCACGGTGTGGCTACTGTCCGTCAGCAGCGAGCAGAATTCCCCTGACACGGTCGGGTCGTTGTCTCCCTGACCTCTCTCCCTGCTCTTCTTTGACTTCAGAATGGTCCACTCTCCGGTGGGGTCGATGACGATGAGTGCATGCATGCACTTGGCGATGGCCAGACACACTGGGGCCGTGTACACGCCCTCCTGCCGAAGACGAAGCTTCCTTTGTGATGGAAAGTTAACATAAAACAGTAAATTTCACGTAATGAAGTCCTTTTTTCCAACGTAATTATGATTTATCACTCTTGAAATGGACAGCACAACCTACTGCAATTGGAAAAAATCATTAAGCGAAAATATATATTTGCTTACCACATTTTAACATTTAATGAACAGAAATCTCTTTTTCTCCTCTTACTAACCAAAAGGCAGCTAAGAGACACAGCGTCACATCCCTAGACTCTTTCAGATCTGTGGAGACGACAGGTGTGTCGCTCTGGAGGAATGGTATCAACCTGGATAGAAGACTGAGGACTGAAGCACACAGCTCTAGGTCCTTCCGATTGGCCGATGCTACTGTCCTATAAAAGAGGGGGAAAATATTTACTGTGTCTAAACTTGAGGCCATTTGACTGACTCTAAGCATCACTGAAAGTCAAACAAAATCTCCAAAATATACAAGGAAATGATATAAGTACTTTAGAAATTCAAAAAATTAGAAATTACCGCAATACATATAGCAGACGAGACAGGATTTCATCTTGTTTCTCACTTGATGTTATGAAGGCTTCCGCGATAGTGAAGAACTATAAAAGTACAAAGGGGGCAATGTACATTTCACTATTTGCATTTATCTATCAAAGCGCTCTCTTCAATCAAAGTATAACACCATTGGCTTTAAAACACGAGGGAAAAATCCTTCCATGAATTTAAAAAGAAACTTAATGTTACTATTGACTTTCTACAATGAAATGTGCATAAAAGTTATTTTAAAAGTTCAGATATTTCAAAGAATCTTTTCCGTTCATCACGGAGAGTATTGTACTTTTATTTACATCAATATTCTTCTCTTCATCTAAATATTAACCACTTTGTGCCGGGGTACCTGGTACCGGAGATGTTGGCTTTATAAGCACAGCCAGGATGCCCGAAATCAGACAAAGGAGCTTGGCCTTGTAACAAAAGACTGTACTTGGAACAAAAGACCAAACTGCTAGGAATTGCCAACATTTTTCCAGTTGTCAATAGCGGAGGAAATCCGTCATTGTTTTGAATGATTACACCATTGTTTGTGGCATTCAGCGAGAGCAGATTACCATTGAGGACAAAAGTGTTCCAGCACTCCAGGGATGAGAGATACAGTACTGCTACACATTAATCTGGTCTGCATTTGAAAAGACCCCAGCAGCGCACTGGGCCAGTTACAGGAACAAAAGAAAATTACGTAACACTGCACAATCTGGGCTCTTTTTACAAGGCGGCAGGCCTGACTGAAATACTCAAGCGTCAATAAATGTGTCTGTCAGATTGGAGTAGCCACCAGAAAGACATTGGTGTGGGTATAAACGTCCAGTAAATGAAGTTATGGATTTTTGAAGAATTTTGAAAATGGAAAATCTTGAAAATCCCCCAGGAATACATCATGCAACTTCAAATGAAACCCGGCAGCAAACAGTGACAAAGCTTACCAGCTGCACATCAAAAGCTGCAAAGGCATCAAATTCCTGCAACGGCAACAAACAAATTCACACAATTTCAATTTCCAAATTTTGTCAAACTCCTTTATAAAAAACTTTGCACTGCTTTTACAAATACAAATGCTACACAAATTTTGGAGGAAAACTGATATGTGTAAATTAAAGCTTATAATTGAAATCAGAAACAAAAATACAGAAAAAAAAATGCTTCACCTCTTGCTCCAAGACCTCCAGTAGCTTGCCCTGTACATCAGCTGTGCTTAGTGTTGAGTGACCTTTGCTTGACCTTTGACCTTCAGGACTTGTTCCAGTGAAGGCCCAGGAGCAGAGAAGTTGAGCTGCCCTCAGGGCGAGATGTTCTGATTCACTCAATGCATCGAACGAAAGAAGACTCTGGCAACCTAGCCGACATGTAATATACAAGACAGTTTGTAAGCGCACGTCGACATTTTTCTTACTTCTCTCCCATGAGGGGTGACTCCAGTTTGACTCCCATCTTACGGATTGCATCTGTCATTCCCTGCTCTACTAGGGGCTGTCAGTAGGCTGGTCTGTTAATCCTGCCCACTGATGTTTTGACCAATCACAGTGTTGACTGCACAATGAAGCTCTGGGCCGGACCAAGAGAGGGTGCAACTTTCTTAGCAATGGAGGCTCCTTTGGTGAGAAATGCACTTTGCTTGTTCACGAATGACTGTGAAATGCACGCGTTACAGTTGCATCGCTACCAAAAAAACGAGTTCATCTCCTATCAAAATGGCTCTTTTCAACTGACGACTGATCAGACTGAACATCCGTCTGAACTGCGAGGTATACAAGAACACAGTAGGTGGGGGTCAAGAAAAATCAGCCTCTTCAAAGCCGAGTCCTCGGGGAGAACGGGATGTGTCATCTCACCTTTGTGGGTGGCACTCTCCTCACTGAGGTTGCTGTTCTCATCGAAGTCATCTTTGCCGTTCCCTTCAAACTCGTCGTCGCATTTAGTATCCATGAAGTCATCGTGAAAGGGATCCTTGGAGGGCGTCTTGGATGAGGAACCTTTGGTGGAAGTACTACTTTTGCCCTTGAAAAAATGACAAAGAAATCCATGTTGTTCCTCCTTGAAGAGGTGTCACTTTTCTTGGCTTGCTGGTGATAAGTTGTAACCCCCAACACTTACATCTTTCTGGACATCGCAAATGCAACCCTTATTTTAAAAACAAACTGTTTGATTCGAAACTATTTTGGATTATTTATTTACATTAAAGAAAATACTTATATGTTTACGAAAACTTAGAGTACCTTGGGCTCTGTTGTATTTTTATCAGGCATACAAATAACAGATAATTTGCAACTTTGCAGTCACAATATCGAGGAAAACACACTCTTTACGGTTCCCATCTGTTACAAAATAAAACTCATGAATAAAAATTGGAAAATGTTAAATATTCTGATATGAGGAAAAATACCTTTTTCTCGACGATTTCGAACAGGGCGTTCAACAGGTCCCTTGGTGTGATGGACCGGCACATTTCTGCCACCCAGCTCACCGATCCCTGAGCCACCTGACCGGCAAGAGAATGGTCCCAGGTTAGCATTCCCTCTAAGGCCAGGACAAGAGACGACAGCGACTGGAGTTTGGCCTTGCCATCGGCGGCTGCGTCACTCTTACGCCAAAGGTTGCCCAGTGCTGCGGTCACTCTCTTCAGCAATGTCTGTCGACACCAGAAAAGTATGCGAAGTAACAACATCATGACATCACACTTCTTTTCAAATTCCTAGAGTTCCGTCAATCAAGATTGGAAAATTAATTTTGGGCCCAGCTGATGATGTCACATTTCTTACCTTCAAACTATCCCCGAGTTTTGAATGTGCTACCTCTTCTTCTGAGAGCACGCCAAGTTCTAGCAAGACGGCAAGTGTCTTGCAGAGTAAGTTGGCATAGTGGATCAATGCTTCTCCACACGTAGCCTGTATGATCATAAAGAAATTTCAAATTTGTTCACTCAAATCATGCCAAGTTTTCATCCCCTTGGGGCCTATCAAAACAACATCTAAGTCCTTCCCCCGCATTTACGAGAAGGGTTCAAGGAGATAACCTGACAACACTGCAGAGTTCTGTGGTATAAAAACTCTCGATTTCCGACTTGCCTCACTGCTGTTAAAGTCTAGCACCTGCACCCCGACTCTTTCCAATCCTTGCATCAGGCTTTGCTTCACACTTGACACCACGCTGGAGGACCCAACCGCAGGTCTCTCCACGATGCTCTTGCACTTCAATGGTTCCTCCACTGAGAAATCAAAGGAGGACCTAAGGTGCAACATCTCTACATCTTGGAGTGTTTGCTCCATGTTGTCGACGGTAGCTGCTGGGCTTCTGGTGTAGGGTGTGACGTGGGGTACGTTGTGTGTGGTGCGCTGGGTAAGTGCACCCAATACATAGGCAGCCAGAGTTGTTGGAAGGCTAAAAACAGAAAATGTTCATTTATTAAACCAGCTGATTTAACAAAACAATCTCCCGAAAACTAAAAGAGACCTTTGACTATTTTTTTGGATAATGCAAATAGTTACCACTTCAGAAGCTTTACAAGGTGTAGTCTCTCTCCAGACTCATCTTGGTCCTCTGCTGGCAGCAGCCAGCTCAGCAACTGGTGTCTTAATGGGTGGTTACCCTTAGTGACGGCTGATGTGGAGCCTATGATGCTGCTCCCCTGGCAAACATGGTTCTCCGGCAGTGAATGATGTCTGAGATAAGTTGCCAGAAACTGGACGGAATGGCTGGGAAAAAAAGGGAACCTCTGTTAGCGGAGAAAAAAATCTTCCACGCTAAGCAAATTCTGCAACTCAACAGCTCTGAAATTCCTAAAACACAAATTAAAGAACTTGTCTACAAACAAACGTTGATCAAAAGTCAGCTTGTACTGATTAAAGTCTCTTTTCACTGAAACAAACACGGAGCAATTTTAATGGAGGAAGAGCAAGGTACCTGGTTGGAGGCGTTGAGTCAGCGATAAACAGCCTCCAGTGTTCCCTATCTGGATTGACTATCCCACAATGCAGCAGACAGGTCAAAAGGTCAAATCCATGTGACTCTGTTGTGTGCAGGCTGATGGTTCTACAGGACATTAAAAAAAATTCAAAATCACTTAAAACCAACATTTTCACCACCTCATATAGACTCTAATTTTTAAATTCCTTGACCTATTTTAAAATAGGAAATGGAAGAATTGGCAAATCTTGGAAGGTTTGGAGATTAAAAAAGACACGTTGGGGCCGAGTAAATTCAAATAATTTACTAGTTGAATTTCCGACCTTCCATTCGATTGAATGTCCAAATATTTTGTTGTACCGACCGGCAGATTGTTGAGTAACAAACCACATACAAAACCAGTTGCAATAATGCACACAATTATACATTATGATCAAAGTAATAGCTTCTCACATCTAAGAGCACCTCCTGCCACAATTTAGCAAGATTAAGAGACGAACAATACTCCTTGCCCTGTTGAAAACTTTTACTTTTTTTAAATTGTGTAATGAATTATTTACATTTTGAATCAATTTTCATTTGAAACTGCTTGAAACAAACCTCCATAGTGCAATTTTTCTCGTTTAAAGCAAAGGAAATTCCCCGTTCCCTTTCATGAATTTTGCATTCAAATATTCAAATTCGGAAAGTAATATTCGAATATTTGATAAACGATCGAATAGTTGGATATTCGGCACAGCCCTAAGACAGGTTTTTGCAGGGAATGGAGGCCTGCTTTTAAACAAAGCAAAGTTTTGAGATATGAGTATTTTGTCTTCTCACCTGATTGCACATGACCAGACTTTGGTCCATTCAGTGTGCAATGCCATTCTCAATCCAGAGGGTAAGTTCCTGTGCTCGCACTGGCACAGGGCCAGCGCCTGCAGAGTCTGCAATATCCAGGTCTGTATCTCTGCTCTGGAAAATTATCGGCAGTTGTGAAAAAATCAAGAGCAGAAAGGGCTCTCCACTTTGGTATGTTGAAAAGGAAATAACAACCGTTCAAACTGATGCGAGAGGAGTTTGTCTCAGTTAACTTTATCTATTAAAGTTACCTCTTTGACTCGGCCTGTACTTGTTGCAATGTGGACACTAACGGCTGGAGCTGGTCCTCGGGCAGGCTGTTAGGATACTTGTGCAAGAGTGTCCTCAGTAATTGCAGCCTGGATAAAAAATTGGTCCCCCCCAAAAAAAAATTAGAATGCAGTCAAATTTCAGAGACAATTCAGCCCAAAATGATTATCGATCAAAGGGGTTTATTTCCCCTTTTCGGCAATATTTCATCACCAGCTCATTAAACCCTAAGATCCCATGTAGAGACGGTAGTCTGCTGACTTGGATTGAATTGAATTGAAATAATCCAAAAATAAAACAACAATTCCACCGTGACAGAAGCTAACTTTCCCTGTTTATTCCATCCTTAACTCTGTTTTGGGTGGCACCAAAAAATTGAAGTTTGTTTCACAGGAAACGAAAACCTTAATAATAAGTACGTCTGATATTGGAGGGGAAACAAACTGAAGAGGACATACCAGGGAGTCACGTTGGCACTCCGCCCCTGAGTGGCCACCATGTCTTGCAGCACAGACCAGCCCGGTTCCACTTTGCGGCGTTTGGCTCCCCCTCCACCCTGAGGGAAGGACCGCGAGCTGCCAGGCGACTGGCTAGAATCTGAAATGACCTGGTTCACATCCACTGCAGCGTAACTTGCAGAGAACACCTTTTGATCACAAAGAATGACTGGTCTAAGGTTTGGCCAATTACTCTGATTCGCTTCTAGTCGTAACACATTTTCTGGTTCATCTTACCTGATGACAGACATCAGCGGCTAAGTCCACTAAGGCAGCCTTGAAGATAACTTCTCGGCTTCTGCACAAGGATGAGAAAGGAGATCTTAGAAAAGGTCTGTCGGAATCCAAAGCAATGATTAAAATAGTCTTACAAAACCTTACAAAAACTTTGTATACATCTTCGGATCTTTTTGACTTACCCTGTAGCCTTCAGTTTCATCCGAGATCCCGCGTGTCTCCACTCATCAAAGATCAACTCATAAAGTTGCTGCAAGTGGCTCTGAAAAAAAAAGGTCAAATTCAGTAAATCTGGTGAGTAATGACCCAAGATTTATCCACCTAATGGTGAGTCTTAAGATTTGATGACCCTCAAGGGTCAAAATGGTTTCCTGCGTACAGGCACTTGCTGGGCCAATCAGATGCAGCACAGAGAGAAAACAAACTGACCAATGAAAGAACAGGTGACATCACTACCCACCCTCTGAAAGAGATCAGGCCACCAGTCTAACTATATTACCTTCCAGATGGTAAGGTCAGCAGCATATGCCCCCTTCCCTTCCTGCAAAACCCCCTGGGGGTGGTGCAGCCTCAGCTGAAGCCGTAGGAAAACAACAACTTCATCCTGAAACATAACCAGACAAAAAAGCAAAGAAACCTAAACATTAAAGGCTATTCTAGCTCCACACACACAAAAAAAATGGTTGCTAGTTTTAAAGATTCTAATAGCTTCCTATTCAAAAATCTATTCATTTCCATCTTAATGCTGTACGCTCATATTCACAAAAGTTTCAGTAATTAATTTAAGGAGACAAAGTTCGTTATGGAATGATGCACATGTCCGGCTGCTTAGATTCTCTCAACAGACATAAATAAGACGCTCAACCTTGACAGTGGTGGCCGAGTTGTTCTTCCACACGTGCAGCAGGTTGCTCATAGAATCCTCGCCCAGCTTGCAGAGCTGTTTCCGACAGTCGCTGGCCACGGTCAGAGAGAACGTGTTCAGTGCCACTACAATATTCTCTATGACTGTGGCACTCCGTTCTGACCTATTCAGAAGAATGCAATTACCCGTTTCAGTTTGATTCCACAAAAAATTTTTAAAGTGAAATTCTAGCACATTATCAACTTTTCCAGGCCTTACTTGGTAACCTGCCAACTTGCAGATGACCATCATTTCTGAGAATCGAGACAGAAATTGTGAAACCCATTTAAAACAGGTCAAGATAAATACAAAAACAGGTAACTGGCATTTTGTTTATGGATCCAGACATTTTTCACAACTGGGTTAGGATTTCAAAACTTTGATTTGACTGGCAATGCCAAAAGCTCAGTTCTGTTAATAAGCCACTTGATTTGGTCTGGGAAAACCATAAGTAGTACACATAGCATGAAAGTTTGACTGGTAACCTATTTTATGGCCACCATAGAATTCAGGCATGCCCTAGTAAGCGAAGACTGTATTTACCTAAGTTTACCAACCATCCGAGTGAAGAAACTGAACATGGACGACCGACGAATGTTGCTCTGCACCACGGCACCAGCCAAGACGGACTTCACAATCCTTGAGAGGTGGTCTTGGCTCAGCCCTGGAATGGGACTGTGCAAGGCCTTGCAGAACTGAATCAGAAGATCTGTGGGGAAAAGGCAACAAACTGTCAACGCATCGGGAATCAGTTGAAGGTCCCAATATAAGAATGCTTTCTGAGCTCAGCACGCTGAACGGATGCTATGCCCAAAGCATCTTCTCATCCGTTTCAATATTTACTGTCGTTATAACATTTTCTCCTTGCCACGCACCATGCCAGGTTGACGGCGTCAGCTCGCAGTAATAGGTGCGACTCCGCAGCAGGTCCTTCTGCAGCACGCTGCAGCAGTCGACTCCAAATGCGGTCGCCGTGAATTCATCCTTCATCAATGCCAGCACGTGTTCGACCACGCCGGCACACCCCAGACGTTTACCACCTGCTCAAAATGAATGTCATCAAAACCGAGCTCTAAAAACCTGCAATTTCCAATGAATAAACTGAAAATATTAAAGAACCTCCTCTGACAAACTCTAACGGTCACTGGGTTTAGCTTATTCATCAAAAACCAGTATCCAATTTCACATAGCACTGTTTAACCACTTTAAAATCTTGACTATCTTTTGAAAGTAATGTACATTTCTCCTTGTTGTTTGTCATTATAAGTTGGTTGGAAAAAGTGTCCTAAGGTTGCCACGTCAATGTAGCAAATTCGTTAGAGATTTTGAGGATTCACGAGGAGATGTAATACGTACGTTGGTTTGCTATGCGGACAAACCACTTCAAAACAGCGCCGACTTCTTGCTTCTTGCGATCCCTCGTATTGATGCTGGTACTTGAAGCTGAAGAATAAAGCAAGCTCACAAGTCAAAAAATCGGGCTGTCGAATAAGGCGAGGAATAAAACAGGGTTGTGGACCGAACTAAAACTGCGCAGAAACAAACACCTAGCAGAAGAAAGCAGGGCTACACATCCAAATCAGTCCGCAGGGCGAATACAAGAATGAATATCCAGCCTGAACTGTCGAACAATGTTACAGATTATATGCTACCTGGTGGGAAAGAAGGGAACCTGCTGGCAAGCACGCGCAGATTAAAGCTGGTGCGAAAAAAGATTGAGGCTGCAGAATAAAGCAAGGTAATAGACTCAATTCAGGTTGAGGAACAAAGTTAGTTTATGGGGCTACAGAACAAAAGGCAAATCAAAGCTCAAAAAACCCAAACAACAAACTATTTTCCTTAACATGATAGAGGGTAATACTCTTGGCAAAAATGGAGAAAAAATGATAAAATACCAACGAAGCAGGGATGGGAAAATCCCGCCCAATCTGCAGAACCTTGACCATGTAAATCCACTAGACCGCAACCCACCTCCTTTGTTCTTCTTAAGATACTCCGCCTCCTTCAGCATGTAAGCGCTCACAGCTTTGAAAGCTGAATCCCAAGTGAAGCCACGCCCCTCATCGGTGTTCCGATCCAACTGACGCTGCACCAATGGCCGATTCAGCTCCCGCCTCAAGGATTCAATATATTTCTGAAGCAAATTGCAAGATAATCAATCACATGCTTTTCTCTAACTTGCAAGTTTTCAGCACAGAACAGAGGACTGAAACATCAATGATCGAGTCAACAGCACTCATTTATGTTATTTCTTTTCTTCTGTCTTTCCATAAATGCTTCTTTGAGCCAAGTGCTTCAGTTTCCGTTTGAGTAGATGTAGTTGAGACAATTTAACACTTGTGACAGGAAATGTGACCTTTTTCTATGAAAAGCTTTTTACGGATTGGGGAACTGGCATTTTCTTTGCGGGGGTGGCTGTTTTGTTTTTCTCATGACACTGTAGAGTAACTTGTACCACATTTTTTCCTCATGTTGGACTGTTGAAATAGCCTCTACTTCATGCATATCTGATTTTTCACCTTTTCTTCCGACACCCACAGAGGAATTCCTCCATGCAGAGCAAGGGAAGCATGCCTCAGGCTGTGGCATCTGACTAGCCCCCAGAACAGTGTGGCAATGTGTGGGGTCCACTGTCCGCCCCATTCCCACGACGTCGGACCCCACAGTTCTGGGGGTGCATCTGACCACAGACTCATGAAATTCCTACCTTCCTTTCGGTGACCTTGTCTGAATCTAGGTGATCACAGCAGTTGCGAATGGATATCAATACTTCAGACATGTTGATCAAGTGTTGATTGAGGAGGCATAGGTAGCTGGAGTGATAGGTCTGGTCAAGATCCTGTAGAGGTAATACTGCCAACAAGAGTAACCAGTGGTTACTCTCTCATTACGACAGATGCCGACTGACTGTTCGAATTGTCATCATGAATTCATGTCGTGCCTGCTGCCGCATCAGACTTGTCAGACGCCTGTTTTTCTGCAGAAAGGCAACTTTAACAACGCGTTATAAATAACGTCTGCCAACCAGATTCGCTAGAAAAAAAAGAACAGTAGAAATGCTAAGACTAAGAGTACTTAGTCAAACGTGACAATAAGTTTTTTGTTAATTATCAAATGGCATTCGGGAGACAAGCTAGATTCATGCGGAAGTCTTTCAAGTTTCATCCCTCATCGTGTCAAAACAGTATTTCTCACTTTTCAGCACGATTAGTCTGCGTCCTCTAATTTCATTAATGACTCTTAGTATTTAAGTCTGGGTACAAGACAAATTTACCAAAAAGGCGCGCCACGTGCATTTTCCCGCCGCTTGGTGGCGTCGTTTGCCTTTAAGACTATCTGAAGTAAGACTTATGCAGTTTTCCAATATTCGACCGCGACTCGGTCGGAGGCTTCAACATTTTTTCTACCTAACTTTGAAGTTGTAAACGCGACAGTTAGTCTGATAGGGCCACAGAACATCAAGTCAGATGTAAAAGAGCCAAACGTTACGGTGCTTAAATTCATTAAAATGCTTCATGCCTACAACCAGAGATTGGTTTAGAGACACAGCCATCGACGGAGACGAAGTTGAGTATTGGAAAACGGCCCAAAAGCGGCCACGTAACGACTTGCGTAATAATAAGCTCAGGACGAATAAAGTACACTTTCTTAGCATAATGCATATGGCGTGCGTCGTTCTACGTGGTCTCCTTTTCTGTCTACCAGAAAGACCTATCTTTCTAAACATCTAATTTCCTAATTAATTAAAATAAGAAATATCTAAGCTTCTGAATAACTAAAAGACACAAGTTTGAAATAATTTAGTTACTCGATCAGGAATTAAGCTATTCAGTTACTTAAGTATCTAGTTATTTGGAAAGCCATCTGAGTAAGTTCCGAAATACGTATATGTCTCGGAATGTTTAAATTCCCAAATGCCCATTTTGCAAAGTATAAATAGCACTATTGTTGAGTGGCTAAATTCCTAAGTGACTCAAGTTTCAAATAATTAAGTTACTTAGGAATGTAGTGCTAAGTGACTAAAATTCTAAATACCAAAACTCAGAACGACTAAATTCGTAAACGAATTAAGTTTCAAATAATTTAGTTACCGAGGTATAAGTTAGGTATTTAGTTATTCCCAATGCTTTGTAACGAGTTCCCATATACGTAGAGGTATCGGAATATCTAAATTCCTGAATGTGTATCTTTCTAAATACCTGATTTCCTAAATAAATACAATTCTAAATACCAAAATTCGTCATACCTACATTCCTAAGCGACGCAAGTTTCAAATAATTTAGACACTCAGGAATTTAGCAATTTAGTTATTTAGGTATCTAGTTATTTTGAATGCTATCTAAGTAAGTTCCGAAATACGTATATGTTTCAGAATATCTAAATTTCTAAATGCCTATTTTTCAAAGTATCTTAAAGTTGCACGTACTGATATGAGCATCGATATCAAGTGGGTGGGTTACTAAGACTTCATTAATTAGCGCAACTAATCCTATTTTGTTTCATTCTGTAACTACTTATAATAAAGTCTCAAAATTTAGTTCATTACATTACCATTAAAACAGTGAAAAATGGCATTGACGTCACATATTTCCATAAAAGGCCATGTCCGTAACACTTGGATGGATTGGAACCACCAGAGTTCAGGACGTTGTGCAATAATTTGCAATGGGTAACAATTGATAAATCTTGCGCATCATCACAAATGCTATACTATAATTTCAATAAATCAACTATCATAATCGATCATGAGATTTGCTACCATTTCTAGCTCACGTTTACAATTGTTGTTGTTATTTATAATCGGCTTCTAAATTTATTGTTGTGCAATAAATCAAAACAGTAGCCTAAAAGTACCACAGGCGTGGAAAATTTCACTAAAGTCAGTGTTGCAGCATTGTAGTCGGTAATTCACCAGTTTTTATGACTGAAATTTGATTTGAAATCGCACTATTCGAGGAATGCCATTTCGACAGTTTGAGGAAGATCTAAACATGCAGTGATGCCCAAGCACCAACGAGGGAGCCCACAAAGCACCAATTGAAAAGGCCGAAGGCCGCATGCGCCGTAGCCCTTCCCTGAGGTTTGTATACCAGGCAAGATGTAGGACGGAGGGTACCCCCCTTACCTACCCAATCCCTAAACACACTCTAGACTATTGTTACCTAACACATCCCCCCTAGAAGTCTCTCCGTCCCATATCTTGCTTCAAATGGAGGTTTACGTTTTCCTCGATTCTTAAATCCGTTAGAGGGCGCTAAACCCCAAGAGGCATTTTATGCAGCGGATCGGGGGTACAATGCAATAGAACAGGACGAATTGGGAGTTTGTCAGTCACATGCTGAAGCTAGGTTCTCTGCGTGCAACAGATTTTTTTATAATTAAATTTACCAATAGAATGAGATATTGATCCCTTTAATGACGGATAGCTTTGAGAATCTTTGAATTAAACATGATACTTTTTTGTCTCCGCAATGACAGAACTGTCCTTATTGAAGTGTTTATTGATCATGGCAATGACAAATGCTTCAAATATTAAAGCTATCGACCAGACAAATAGCATTAGCATCGAAACCAATCTGTCCTTTCATCTGAGCTTAATATCATCTTGACAAGATGATTGAAAGAATTCCGTAAATCTGGATATCGAATTTCTTCATCATGGTCTTAGGAAGATGGAAATATTGAACAAGTTGAAACGAACGGTTGATTGTGTCTGCTGTGTCATTTTGAGGTGGATAAAGGTGCTACCGAAATACGATCTGGCATTAACCGGAATCTGACGCGTCGATGAAGATGCAGTACTTTAAAAGGCCTTTTGGGAAGGCTTTTCTTGATCACTCCACAGCGCAAAGTTAAATCCACCTGAACAGCGTTGTTGCACTTCGTCAAAGCTTTAAAGGTATGATCCGTTTTGATTATGACATGAACATCATTCGGAGATTTTCCTCCTTCAAAATGGTGCACTTTTAAAATTCGCACAGTCATTACAAAAATACAGTTCCCAGAAATGTCGATTATGTCTTTTATGCCTCTGAATTTATATCTTTAGAAATTACTTCCGTCTCACAGTGCAATTGGTACGATTTTTGCTACCATTTCGAGCGGGAAAATGACCGAGCGATTTTTGCTTCTGTTTCAGTCGGACGGTGATCATGCGTTGTCGTGAGCTCCAAGCCTACATTTTCGTCGGTGCTCTGTGGGCGTTGCTGCAGGCAAGCTCCGGCTACTCGCCGCCTGTGATACAGAATTCGGACGGCTCATTGGGCGGCCAGTACTTGATCAAGATTAAGGTAAAGATCTCTCTGATGGCGTCAGTTCCAACTTACAGCACACCTACCCATGGCAGAAGTGAATACACTGAAACTAGTATGGATTGTAACTCAGTAGCTCGTATTTCCATTCTCACTTAGGCGGGGTATGACATTGATGCAGTGGCCAAGGAAATCGAGGACCTGATTGTTCCGGATGACAGCAAGAGTAAAGTCCACGCCGAGATTAAGCATAAGATTAAGAATGTAGTGCCGGTCATCGTAGCAAGACTAAATTTCAAAGCCCAAGAAAAGGTGCTAAATGACATGACCTCGCTTAAAGCCTTTTCAAATGTACAAACAAATCCAGGGAGCAGAATTAGGAAAAATGTTACTGCATTATATTTTGAACGTTTAATACCAGCCTTTAAAATGGCAGCTGCTCTACATTACTGGGTAAATTCCAACAAAATCGATGACAAACTTCGAAAAAACGAGGGGGTCCTACGATATTTGGTCTTGGAAATATTGCAAGTTGTAGTATTTGGTTATAAGTTTCATTTCCGCTTATTATAGCCGACTTTTTCTATAGATCCAGACAGTTGCGGGTATTGAATATATTGAGGAGGATGGAATAGTCAAGGAGGAGAACTTGGCTTCAGATAAAGACACCAAAGTCCCGAAAGACTATGGGTTAGACAGGATCAACCAGTTGGATAGTGGGTTGGATGGAAACGTCACCATCAATGGTAAACTGGACTATTCACTGAATACTCTTCCACATACTAGGCCTATTGTCAATATCTCAACATCAGAAGATGTCCAAAGTATTTCAAACGGAAAATTTCCTTCTTGGTTACAGGGGACGGTTTTGGTACAAACATATATCTTCTGGACACGGGAATTCAAGACCTCCATCGTGACTTCGAGTGCCGTGCCCGACATGCCTATGACGCATTTGGAGGTGACGTAAGTACAAAACCTGGTTGGTTTGAGTTCGCACCATTTGTGATCAGGATTTGAAATTTTCACCAGCGTGCAGACATTTTTTGGTCCCCTCTTCCGTGAAATCTCTTTGGTTTGCTTCAAACTCCACAAAGTTTGCCCTCACCAGAACAATCAAATGGGGAATGAAGAACAAAACAATTGAAATATACATGTACAATCAAATTTCCCCCTCGGGGTTCCAAAGCAAAGATTACGTTAACACTTTCGACAACAGGTTACCAGCCGAACTGTGAACTTAAATTGTTTGCTTAGGAAAAATATCGACACTTAGACGTTTCACCTGTACTAATGATTGTACTCGGCAGGGCTTCGACACTTGCACAGGCCACGGGACTGCGGTTGCTGGCATTATAGCTGGGAGCCGCTACGGTGTGGCCAAGCGGGCAACCATGCACTCCCTCAAAGTCATTGGCTGCGAGGCTGAGACGGGAAGTTACGAAAACCACGCCGTCAGCTATGTCATGCTAGGTATCAACAAGTTTTAAAGGGGCACAATTCAATATGAACAAGCAAACTAAGAAAGAAAGAACAAAACGAGAGAGGAAAAAAAAGACAATAAAAATCAACTTTTTAAAGACGTAAAAGACTCCAAATTTGCTGCAGATTGTGTAAATGTCTTTTTGCTTTGAACTGAAATTTAAGGAGTCGTTTCATACATCGCGCAACTAGAATACTAATCGGCCATAAAGGTGCAAATCACAATGACAGTGGTAACAACGACCAAATCCACGATCGTAACAATGACGCTGCATTATGTTCCTTATCCGTGACAGGCCTTGACTGGGTGATGCGGAACAAAGTGTCCCCCTGCGTAGTGGTGCTGGCACTATCCACCGGCGGGTCCCGGGTCCTGGACGAGGCCGTCAAGACTATCCACGACGCGGGCTGCGTAGTGGTGGCCGCGGCCGGCAGAAGCGAGCTCGCCAAGACGGACGAGGGGCAGCCCAAGTTCTTCCCCGTGGGCCTGGGCTACAGGGCACCCCTGCCTCCCACCACGCCCGATCCCAACAAGGTCGACCTCGATAACTACATCCATGAGGCGTGCGCGAGGTCACCAGCACGATCCCCATACGTGCGTCCATGTAGAGTGTTGTTTCTGGTTTATCTATAAAGAAGCACATAGAGGTTTGGCGTGATAACCATCTTGCAGGGCAGATCTTTTGTTCCACAGGGAAACCTTCCTTGTGCATACCCTGTGAAACAAAAGCACTGGCCTGCAAGATGGTAGCTATGCAAACCCTCTATTCATTTACAAAATCGAAAATATATTGGTTATAGCTTCCTCTTGATGCAGTAATGGTCAACGAAAGACATCATTTCATAGGTTGTCACCGTAGCTGCAATAGGGTCGACGGACACGGTGCCGTCGTGGAGCAACACAGGTCTCTGCGTCGATCTCTTTGCCCCCGGTGAGAGCATCTACACCGTCAACTTTAAGAATGACGACGACTTCTTTTATGCCAGCGGCACTGCTATGGCCGCTGCGTATGTCGCAGGTTGGTGTTACAGTGTCGCCATGATGCATTTATATCAAGAGGGCGCCAGCTCGCCAGAACGCCTGCCCTACTTTCCAAAGTTTATAAACATTCGTTTTAATATCAACAGATACGCCATCGCCGACTTGAACAATTGAAAATGTGTGGACCTCGTTATGCAAATCATATTTCCTCTGTTATAATTTAGGTTGTTGGTTCGTTTGGTTTTTCCACCAAGGTGCAGCGGCAGTTCACATTGCCAACGGCGTAACAGAGGTCCCGGATATCCTGCCACCACAAGTGGTCAATAACCTGGTCAAGATGAAGATCTTGAAAGATACGAGCACCTGCATGGTACTGAATGCGGGTGAAGGCACTCCAAACCGCCTGCTTTACCTACAACCTAACTAGAGTACGGTGATGGGGAGGTATTGGCGTCGATAAAGGTTACGTTAGATTTAGGGGCTCATCAACAAAAGACCATGTCGTGCAAACAAGTGTCGAACCTCATGGTAGATCAACTTTGTTGTATGGCTTTGGCCCGACATTTTATGGACTTGTGGGCTATATTTGTTTTGGTAAGCAAACTTATGCGCTTGGCACAAATCAGCTGTACCAGTCATTTCCCATTATCTTTTGGGCGGTAACCTAAGCATTCATCTAAGCTAATCCGAACGGTATACCAAGAATATGTTGTTCACTACTCGCTACACAACGTCAACGCTCTTGATATCGATGCCCAAGTTTCAAAGAACACACTGGTCTGCGTACATTTTTCTCAATGATGTCATAATACTATAGTAAAAGTAAACAAAAATAGAGAACATTGTGATTAAGTAAATTTTGTTTCTTTCTTAATGTAGAACCTACAACGACTACAAACTGAAAGTATTTTAGCGTCTGGCACAAGCATTATTACCATCTGTGATGGATTCGATTTGACATCCTTCATAAAATGTAGTGCTCAGTATGCTTCATAAGTGATGGCCCAAAACTTGAATCAATCACGCTGAGAATCAGAAACAATTGATTGCAGTAATACCTTTAATCATAAGGTTTCCAAGACAACGAAGTTTTCCGGAGTAGCATCGTGTTAGTTTGTATTCAGAAGCCCCCGTGGATCAATTTTAGCCATTTTTTCACGAATTTACGGAATAAAATGTAAGCACAAACTTCAGAGAGATGTACTGAGTATGTTTTGTCCAGTTCAAAGTCATGCCTTCACATTGTGACCGCTCGCAATGGAAGTAACTTATCACGATCACTGCTGATCGGTAATCGTGGCGATGGTTCCCACCTTCGCAATTCTTCCAAAAGTAGGCCTACTCTGGATACATTTGAATATCTGTTTGAAGAGTTCTTTCAACGAATCAAAGAAATTAGACTCCAGTGCCTAATGTTAGAGACAGGAGCTGGGGTCTAAAAGCATTCAGGCTAAGATAGAGGTGCTAAACTTGCCGCCACTGATGTAAGTGTGGTGAAAATTACGGAGGTGCACTTGTCTGCAGAGTGCACAGGCAAAAATCAACAAAGTTTGGAGCCTCGCGGGCAACCAAAGCCCTCGAGGCCTCTCAAACAAAAAATAATGATGGGTCCTTAAGATTTAAATTGATTTTCAAGTTTTAGTAGGTTAACTGGTTAGATTTTTAACACCAAACAAACTCAGCCCCCCTCCCCAAAAGTGAACTTTCCCAAGTCTGTTAACAAGCCATTTTTCAAATGACATCCCTCCACTTTCTCAGACTCTTTGGACAACTTTTTCAATAGCGTTTTTGTCTGCTTTGCCCTCAGATTTGAGCCCCTGAATCTAGAAAGTTAATCCTGGACGATACTTACACAATTCCACAATTTCTTGGGCCACACAGACTCCTCTTTCCAAAAGAAACTGCAGGGGGCCGGGTATGTTTTAAGCGCCTCCTTTTGCCAGGCGGAGAATTTGCCTTGAATTGGAACAGTGCACACTTCAGAGTTGAAAACTAGCGGGCAGGTTTGTTGAAACAGCGCCCTCAGTGTTCGAACGAGACACACGGCAACAGCGTGCGTCTGTCTCGTTCGCCATATCAACGCGTACGTCCCATGCAGCGGTACCGTGTCCGTGTGTATGAGGGGCTGGGAACGTCTGATTTTTCCGTGGCCCTGCCAGATTTGCCACGAAACGGTATGGATCATTACGATCTGCTTCCCGTCGTTTCTTTCATTGTTTCTTAGACGGCTACTTTATATGTTAGGCAGCGATTTTTGCTTGGGTGACAAATAAATTGTGTGAACTTCATTTTCATGGGCCGAACTTTTGGAGGGTTCTGGCTAAGTTTCTGGTGCCACTGGTTTATCGTACTTGTGGACGGGGTACCGTGCGAAATCCGAAGGGGGTCAGAAGTGTTTTGTTATTTGAGTTGCCAAAAAAATAGAGTTCGCCTAAATCTGTCTAAATGGGTGAAAGGTGACGCAGTGTACGTGAAAGTCAGGAATAATGCCATTTGGACTGTGGGACATGTTTGATGTATGCGTCATGTTTTGAAAATGTTTCTTAAATTCTTGTACTGTGGGCTGTGCACACAGGTCTTACTGGCCCTGTTTTGTCCCTCCATGCCTTTGCCTACAACTGTGACTTAATGAGTAGGTAGGCCTACTGTACATGCAGGCTAGGCCTAGACTACTGTACTTAAGAAAATTCTCGAGGTCGGGATGAGGTCACTGATTCTTGATTCTTCTCTCTGGTTGTCAATTGATGGCTATTCCATCTTTTACACTCAAAACTCAAAGGGGCAAAAAAAGTGTAGCGGTCAATGGGGAGACTCTGAATTATTGACTCCAACTCTCAACCTTTACATCAAATGAGCCTGAAATTTCACTATTTACGCACTATAAACATTTCTCACTCTGTACTGAAAAGGTTGTAGTTATTTCTGTCACGTTGCTGCCAAAAATGAGGAAACTTGCAAATCCCTGTACAAACTGAATGGAGAGTTGCCCCTTTGCCCAGACGTGAGTGCCATAATGGAACAACCTCGGACCTCGAGAATACTCTAAAGAAAATAATAAGTTGAATTCTGATTGGTTCACTTCCCTCATACATGCCACAGATCCGTGCATAAATAGGCCTACATACATGTATTTTGGTTGACATCCAATCCCATGACTGAGTGAGAATGCAGAAAAGGTTTTTTTGGTGTTTTTCCACAGACATGATGTAGTCATTTAGACCTACTCAAGCTTGCTGCGCACAGCGTCAAAAATGGCCGAGAAAGTAAGTGAACGACCTCTGCATGACGTCCTAGAGGGGCTATTTTTAGACCAGAAGAAGGACATTGACCTCTTGACGAGGGGCCACCTGAACCACAATCGGCTATGGAAGCCGCCGGAAAAGGCTTCCCATGTGCCATGGGAAAGCTCTGGGAAGGAGGTTCCGTTGATGCACAAGCCTTCCCAGCTGCCTTCACCTCGCAAGTCCACGGACCACCACGTTCAGATGACAGATGCCATGTACAACTTTGGTGTCGGGACATCGGGAAGTATTCCCGTTTCCCAGAAAGGCAAGACCGGGAAAAAGTCAAAGGACAGTCGGCCACGGAGAAAGAGCCCCAGCCCGATTTTGTCAGTGCTCAAGGCAAAGCCAGAGAAGCCCTTGTCGACTGAGCAGAGACCAAACACAGCTGCTTCCTACATCAGTGATAATGTCTACGTAGAGGAGCTCAGACTGCCCGAGCTCATGCTCCCGGGCGCCTCGTCTGTCCCCAGACCTAAGTCCCCCCTCCGCACCGGATCGCCCAAATCCCTGGCCCCGCTGGAAGCTGACCCCAGGAAAGGCTCGAGCCACCCCCCGCCAGCCTTCTATGAGAGCCACCTGAGCGGGGTGACCAAGAAGGAACAGTTCCAGCGGTTCCTGGATTTCCAGAACAACGTGATGAAGAAACCTGAGATGAACCAGAGGGACGTCCTGTCAGGACGGAAGGCAGTGGAAGGCTTGGAAAGGAAACTACAGGAGGTAGGGACCAAGATTTGCTAAAAAATGAAAGAAAACCCTAATTCCTTTTTCAGTGAGGAACAATTTAATTACTTGTATAATTGAGGATACACCGTAAACTTGACACCACACTCACACACACATACCTGTTTTACGTACAAAGTGTGGACATTCCTTTGTTTTCCTGTGGATAAGGAAACTTGAGGAAAATGCTCCTTTTTCTCCAACTAGGATAACACCTTTGAGCTGGATTTTTGGTGATTATTTCCTGGGCTGTTCCTCTTCATTTTGCCACAGATAACCTTGACCCCCAAATGCCTCTGAAACTGTTTTTCAGAGAGGGGAAAACATTCTGTGGACGTGTGTGAGTCCACACAATGCCATCATACCCTAGTATGTGGACATCTTTTGTGCAGAGGTCCATACCATGTATGCCACACCTGCACACACTTATATCTTGAAGCATGCTTGCATTTTGGCACGTAGTTCAACATAGTTGGTTCACCCAGTCAACCATGAAGCAGTTCACCTACATGTATAAAACATACGCCCACAGATCCTTGCACTTGTCACAACTTGTGTGGTCAGATGTTACAAGGTCGTCATTTCATGTCGCCTACGGATACAAAACAGAACTGAAGAAAATTTGTACAACTCCCATAGGATTTGATGAAATTGGATGAGGTCCATCGCCTGTCGGGCCCCAACTTCCCCCGCCTGCAGGTGTACAGCAACATCTGGGACGAACTGATCAAGGCGACGCCGGAGTTTGGCGAGATGCTTTCCTACATCAAGGTAGGTCATTGACCTCTGCCATTTTGCTGAGTATCAATCAAATACTAAAACCAAACAGACAAAAAAGCCATAGAAAAGACACCCAATTTTGCGAAAAACCCAATTATACAAAGGACACAGATTGCGTCTGTTATGAGGTGGAATTAAGGCTTAACTTGTACGCACACTTTGAACAATTGTACAGAATGCTTAGCTCTGTCATTTTGGTATTTTGTTGTGGTCAAAATAACATATTATCCTCATATATTTTTGAGAGGGAGTCATTAGACAGCCAGTTATCTCAGATCGGGTAATTTTGCCCAACGTGCTGTCTCTTGGAACTTGTTAAAACTGTAGGCAACGAGGCTCCCTTGATCAAGTGACGTCAATCTACTACCCCGCTTCTTTTATGTGTGTGCTTGTTCAAATCCTTGCACTCTCCATTATCATCAAAACCTGGCAGATAACATCTGTTTGTCTGCTGCGCCACATTACGATCATTCGATTCCATAAGGCGTGCCATTATTCCTGGTAATTCAATCAAGGACTATTTCAGTCTAAGAAACCCACACGCTTTGGAAGGTCGAGCAGCGTAATAACAACCTTGCAATTTATGGCCATATTTTTTTTAATTTGCTGAGGGATAGCCCCATTGATTGCTAAAATGTATGTACCCCCTTGATTAGCTCTTTACACGGTTGGTGAAAGTACAAGCAGGTCCCATGGGCTTAATAACCTGTAATTTCCCCGGGTCGTACATTTGTAATTGCTGTTACGTAAGCGATTTCCTGTTGTGACTGAGCCATTTGTTGACACAGAAAATAATTCTGCTGGACTTTGGAGGAATCTTGTATCAGCAAATTTTTTTTCCAAATACTGTAAATTGAAAGTGGATCAATTCCCTTTCCACAAGTGTACATTTAGTTACTTAAATAGAATCAATTAAAATTTTAATGAACATTTTTGTAATAAGAATAGGGATGCAGAAAGAAGATTTGATCTGTCTTTGTAAGTCCTTAGGTGCCCAACAAAATGTATTTTGAGGAAGGATATGTATATTCATAAAAATTTGTGAAAGGCTTGTGCATAGGTTTTGTTTCTTTTTTCGTGTTTCTTGAAATCCAAGAATAAAAATGGTATAAACAAAACAGCACGTTCCATTTTAAGTACAGTTGAGCTAAGAAAGCAAAAGAGAAGAGCAGCAAAGATACACATTGCTTTGAAAGTGAGAGGAAACGTGAATTGTATCTGCCCTGGCCACCTTCAAACAAGTTCAGGCTGTTTAGAATGAGCGGGTCGTCTTAATGCATGAGCACAGTCACCCTTCTGCTTGCTCATTAGTTGAGACATCGGCAAAGTAAAGTGTTCTCCTGCCGGCCAAGGGCTTTGTGTCGATGGCACAAGCACAGTCCGTTCACTCGTGACTTGGCATCTCGTTGCTGCAAGAGCAGTCACACACACCTCAGAGGGAGACTTTTTCCAGGCAGACTTGATTTCTGTGATTCTTTCTGTCTGTTATGGTACCGAGAAATCGAACAGTTCAGGGCGGCGTTCCGTGCGATTCTTGTGGAGTCACGATACAGGTAGTCTATTTTATTTATTTAGTATTTAAAGGGGAGTTCTCTGTATAGTTCATTTGTGCTGCAGTGCCTAGACATTGTTACTTCTTAAAAGCTTGTCGTCTTGTTAGTTTTTTGCGTAGCAGTCCTTATAGCCAATGAAAGAAAGTACACATACATTTATTGGCCTGGGGCACAGGAGTAATTATGGTATCCATGTTGCCTTGAGTTCCATGTGAATTGGATTTTTCAGCCAAATTACCATTGTTTTTGTCCCATTTCAAACATGCCTTTTATATCCCTAATGACTCCCTCCTCAAAAATGCCCACTTTAATTAGTGTTGGCATTACATGAAATTCAGTACCAGTTCGTTTGCTGTCTTTAAAAACTAAGAGAAAATTTTAGGAGATGGATAAAAGCCTGTAAAATAGTTTAGGGAATATTGCAATAGCACGGACAATCAAAGTACATGTAGGACGAGAGATTTAAGAATTGTTATAAAAATCCTTGTGTACAGTAGGCTGTTTTTTATTTCTTGGAAAGCACTAATTTTTAAAAATCGGGGCTATTTTATACCCAAAGGACCTTTGGAGATTCAAACTGCACCGATGTAAAATTAAATGTCGGCCTTCAAAAAAAAAGGGTCAGTCTTCAGTCAGTACAATCTGGAAACACCCTTGTCCTTGGGAAGTCAATAGAGTACCGAAGTGAATACGTCACGCGCACAATTAGTGTGTAAAAGGCATTAGCGAGAGAACCAGCGTGTGAACCATCATGCGCGCGTACTCCATTCGTTTGCACTGGTTCACAGTGACGTGACACTTCGGTAGAGTTATTTCTATCATGTTGAGTATTGCTTCATTTTTTCTGATGCTTTCTTTTGCACTAAATTGAAAAATGTGCTTTGCTTTGTAATCATGTTAAGGCCGACTGTTTCAATTTACAACAGATTCTTTTAAGGGGTACGAAATTGATCAAAATGTGTTTGGTTACGGGCAACACTTTTTCAATCCACGTTTATACTGACCTTTCTTTAATGTGTGAAATAGAAAAGATTGTCTTCCTTTCAAGAGATTTAGATTAATCAAACAGAGAAACTTGAAGCTTTCACTCCTTTAGCTGTGCAGTCCTTTCCAATTTCAACGTTAAAAAAGGACCCATATTACTTTATTGTAAATGGTGTTTTAAATCAATTTGGAAGTATTTATTTTTGCTGGTGTGACCCTCTGCACGTATTTTCATTCAACAACACATGAAAAAGTTCTTGCTCTTTTCAAATCAAGTTTTGAGGTTTGTAGAGCCCTTATCAAAAGATTCCACTTTTGTGGATGTTTTGAGGAGCATCTCTCGCCTTTAATTCAAGGTATAAAATCCGCATGTGGCATTTTATTTATGGAGAAATGTCACTGCAAGCTTATTTTTTCAGTTCACTTGCCCACATCAAATAAATTCATTAATAATTCAAACAGGCCATTAGATGGTTCATGTTTTATTGTATATATTTTTTTTGGGGGGGGGGAAGTTGGAGTGAGTATCTGCCTGTTGTGTGTCGCTGTGGTTAATCAGTGAGGAACAAGTGGTACGTAATGGCCTTGGTAAGCTGCAGGAAACCGTTTTTTTCCCCTGAAGCCGTGCAACATGCGTAGTACAGAAAGCCTCTCCTCGGGGGACATCACGCATATCTGTTTCCTGGAAGTGTAATGGATTCGTGCACCGTGGGCACGTTAAGAGCTTCACCGGGGTGGTGTAATGGGATACAAATCACGTACCTCAGGCTGTGATTGCACCTCCTTTGTCACGTCCCCCCGTCCCCATTGGACCGTCCCTCTGGGACAGATTATAAATCCAATCATATATCTTGCAAATGGAGCTCGGTAAATGTTTATGTCCTTTTCAGTTTTTTGGCTTTACACTTATTTTTTTATTGGTTTTAATATTGGTTTGGCTTAGAGCAGGGTGTATGGTTGTCTTTTTCATCTGCCAGATTGTAAATTTGGCTTTTACAGACATGTGGTTTTAATATCAGGCATGCTATATTTCCTCCTTGAACAGGATTTCAGTTTTTCTATCCTTTCATTTCCAATTATCTTTTCCATTTTCAACGTTCTGTACCATTATCATTACACTGGGGGGGGGTCTTCTGGGAATCTCTTCCCCGTTTTAGCTTCCGAGTCAGATATGATCCTGGTAAAATGAAGATAAAAACTGGAGTGTTTGAAAGTTTCACCGCATCTGTGAGTACTGCGCTAGTCAAATCTTCCCGAATTGCGGTGCGTTAGCTAAGCTGCTTGATGCCATGACATTTACTAAGCTCAACAACCAAACGTACTTAGCAAGAAAGGTCTTTACTGTGGATTGATTCATTTTCCGAGAATACAGAGTCGAGCAGAAAAATTAATAAATGTAATCTATCTTCTTTGCCCCGTTCAGGATGGGTATGAGGAGTACATGGGCTCGTTGCTGGACACCCAGAGTGGGAAACAGAGCCAGGTGCTAGCTCAGCAGGTGGAGAGCCTGGCCGGAGGCACACCCATCGCCCCGGGGGAGGTGGATCGAGCCCGGGAGGAGATGTTACAGCTGGAGGAGAAGGCTAAAGAGCTGCTGGAGGAGAACGACAGGTGGGTCGATGAGGGAGTTTATCTCCAACTCTCCGGGGTCTCCTGAGTCTTGAGCTTAGGTGTAGTGAAGTGAATTTCCTGAGTTGATGCTGGGCAGGACCGTGGATGGCATGACTGGGTGCTGAAGTAGGCCAATCAATTAGGGATGTATTTTGGGTGTTGTAACTAAAAAGTATTTCAGTTATTGGTCAGTGATTGAGCATTTTGCTGGTTTGTTGTGTTTGTGAGAATTGGCCGTAAGTTTCTATTCCCACGGATTGGAAATTATCCCAGACTAGCCAGAGGCTGTTAAATGATTTCATAACCAGCGGGAAGACAACAAAAAGTTGGCGATGTGTGTCCCAAAACTGGGCTACTCGTTCCTCATTTTTACAAAGGGGCTACCATGTTTGTCACTACGGGACTATGGATAGGGTGCGTGATAGGGATGGCTTGGCCAGTCTTGCTCAAAGTTTGTAAATTTATCATAACATGATGTGGACGGTGTGATCGAACAGGAACGTACAAGTATTCCATTGGCTGGACTGATGACGGTGTGTGGACCTATGTCATGGGGCAGCCATCTTGCTTTTCTACCGTTCAAAGCAATAAACCAAACCGAGGCTGAATGAAAAAATTGGCTGTTCCCTTTATCAATATGTGAGCTTGTATTACTGTTTGAAATGGATCTACAGGGAACAAGACAAACATGGCAGCAGTGTGATAAAGGTCTATACATGTAGGGCGTGGACCTAGATTAGGGACAAGTTGTGATAAATCGTGGCTTGAATTCTAAAGAAATACTTAGATGCACGTGTGAAAAAACCTAGTTGTGCGTTCATGTACTACTTAAATTTTGGTGCCGTTGTTAATATCAGTCTTTACACTTTTGCCATTGTCAGTTTCTGGCGTGTTTTAGCCAGCTGGTGGGTGTGGTTCCAATGCGCCCTGTAGGTGGTGTTTTGATCCCTTTTTTTCTGAGTACTTTTTATCAGAGAACTGTCTTTTTGAAAAAAATTTTCACCTGAAGAATATCATTTCCAGAAAAATTTCAGAGAGGTTTATAAATAAAGCATGCTTTTTGATTGTCCAGTTTTGTAAAAGTTCAATTGACCACGATTGCATCTCGTCAACATGGCGCAGTGATGTAAACACACAACGGGCTCATGTTAGCATCCATGTTAGTGTCAATTTATGATGCGTTGATAGACCGCTTCAGAAATATTTAAGACATGATTCCTGAAATTTACAAGTACATGCCCTTCCGACGAGATGTGACATCTACAGACAATGCATTCACAAAAGCGGTGCGACATCATCACCGTCCTTTACTTCTACTAATAGTGAGTTCCGGCTCACCAACTCTCTGCCATCACTTATCTTTTTTTTTTTAACCAATGATTCTTAATGTACGTCATTATTGGATTTGTTTTTTATTACTGATGGAACAGTTCTTATTTTTCAGCAACTTACACGGCAAGACTTAAGTGCAGTTATCGATTTTTTGGTCACTGCACTGTGAAGTTTAACAGACAGCAAGGCGATGAAAGTTATTATCCACTGTACAGCAGACTCAATCGCAAGGGATTATTCCATGCAGAGGTTCAATACCCTTCGACTGCTCTGTGAAATGATTTAAAAAATAAATCGCTGTCTTCAGTTGAGTGTCCTGTTCCACTCTCTCATTTCAGTCAACATGTTGTCAGGAACGCGACATGCGTCTGGATTCCAGACAGTCTGACTTGAAATGACCGGTACCATTTCTTGCTTGCAAATTCTGAAATGTGAAAATAATCAGCTGCTGACTAAAGGAAAGAATTCAATCATGACACTGCGTCAGAAAAAGCAAACAAAAACCAAAACGAAAAAAAAACGGGTTTTCAAAACTCAACAGGCCTATTGTTCAAAAGAATCCAGAGATGAGGAATTGTGTCCCATTGGATACAGCCTTCTCATTTCAATCATAGCTCTGTGGGTATCAATTGTTTGGTTGTTGGATCTAATATATTCCTACAAAGCTAAGCCCTACACTTTGCAACCCCCCCCATTTCAGGCTAGTTCAATTTAATTTTTGTCTTTGCTTCCTGCAGCGTTACAATCTAATTTTGTTTCAACATATTAGGAAGAAATACTGCTTTTCCCTTATGAAGTTGCTTGAATTTAAGACTGAATTTGCATACTTTACCCATAGTGGTGGAGCAAGGTTTTAAGTCAAAGCGAGGTACAAAATAGGAATGAATTTTCTATCCCAAGTGTTTGCCTTTTTTTTTTAATCCATAAAAAGAATTATCCTCTCCCAAAGAGTGGTGCTAGTACCTTTCTAAAGTGTCTAGGCGTTCTATCCTTGATATCGATAGGCAACACATTGCGAGGGGAGCAAGTTGTTCCCCCCCCACACACACACACACGCACCATGTGCAGCACCTTTGCAGAACTTGTTGCCTTAGGCGTGCTTGTCTCATCGCGTAATCTTATCTTCTCTCTAGAGTCTGAGGTCTTTTTTACTTCTATTAACTTTTTTTTCTGGTTATGAAACCAACAGTTCATAAAAAGTGCAGAGAGAAGTCCTTGAAGTGCCACTCAAAAGCCCAGAGATTTATAGATGGAAGATAGCAAAGGTGGCGTATCAGATACTTTGTTGAAGCATATAAAAATAAAATTCAGGCGGGGATTGAAGGGATAGTCTGCGTACTTGTTGGCCCCGGATAGGATTCAGACCAGGGTCGCACAGGTGTAAGTCAACAAAAGTACCACTCAGTCAATCAGACTCTTTCCTCAGAATCCATGTTTGTTCACACCTTCTCAGGATCAATTTCCTCTTGTCGGTCCCTCCATGGGCAACTTGCCTTTCAAAAGAACTCAGCAGACTAATGTAGAAGGACAGAGAATGGCAAACTAGCAACACGTGCCGGGTAAAAGTGACCATGACAGTTGGGGACGGGCAATTAGATCTAATCTGCCCTGAAGGCTTGATCCTGCCAGAGTTTTTGTAAAATGGACTCTGGTCAAAGTATGTGATCGAGAATTTACTTTTATGGACACTGGATTGGAAATGAAAGAAAAACGTGGCTTTTTCCTGAGCTGTCAGGATATGGTAGCAGGCTGCCAGAGGGCAGTTTTCAGTATACTGAAAAAGATGTCATGTGCAGTTTGATTATTGATAACAGTCAAATTATTTTTAAAGAAGAATCTTTTGGTATTTATGTCCAAAATTATTCTCCTAACATTTATAAAGAGATGGAAGACCCAGGCCCATTTCACTTAGCAGCTTTGGGTGCTAAGCTGATTTCAGGGGAGAACCAATTACATTTGCAAGCAGTATGCATTGAAATTTTAGCTGGTTACCATTTTTTGCGTGGCAGATATTTTGTGTACTTTAGCAGATTTCTGTGCCCAAACTCACAGTCAGAGCTTTCTAAAATGTGACTGGACTGGGTTGTGATCCACAAAATGAGCATTAAGTTTTCAGGACTGTGGTTTTAGTGTGCAAATAGAAAGATCAGACCGAACTCCTCAGTTTGACGTATCAGTTGACTGAGTGTGGGGACAAATATTGAAGATTCCTCTTGATTCACATTGTGCCGGATTATTCTCAAAAGCCTTAAACTCACAAGTCGCTTGGGTGACATAACTGAGATTCATTTTTGTCACAGTACAGTCATAATTGTTGCACGTGAAGTATGGTTTCTTGGAGTGGTGTTTCCTCAAATCAAGTTCTTTTTTTATGAGACTTAGTCAAAAATTTCCATAAAGGGCAAATGCAATTCGTCATGTAGCACTGTGCCGATCTGAAGTGCGGAATTTTTGCAAATTATGAAGCATCCTGGCAGGGGTGTAATGAGGTTATGCGTTGAACATTAACTGGGGGGGGAGGGGACAGGGAGAGAATGAGATTTGGCCTGGCCCCTCGTGGTGTCAGTAGTGCCAAGCTTCTTGAACCACTGCTTGGAAATGCCGTGCTTCGAATCCTGTGGGAGTTATTGAATCATTGACGAACTCCCAGCCAAATGCAGCAACAATTACAGTCCGTATCGTTGCACGGAGGAAATTGGATGCAGTGGTTTGTGGTTATTAAATAAGATGTCCGGCGTGATGCAGGCATTTATTGCATTTGTCTGTCTTGGGGCGCGTTCATTCATCTCTTGAGGAAAGCCCCGGTAATGCTTACGTTTCAGTGTACGGCGTTCTTCACCGAAAAGTCTTTGCACCTTATCGTTTCCCATATTTGTCAGATTTATTTCATTAAAGATGTACTGCACAGTGAATTCCTCGCATCAGCTGACGTGGGATTATTGAAGTGAAGGAAGCTGTACTAAACATGTATAAATCGTGATTGTATGACTTCTGTTTCGTTGTGACTGAAAAATAAAAAAAGGCTGGGAACTCATCTTCCTTGAGTGATCCCCGTCTTCAATTCGCTTCAAGGTCACTTGATTTCTGATGTGTGCTGTTTACATGTAGCGTGACTTCATCCGGCATAATCCCTGGCCTCGTGTTCACAGAGTTTCAACGCTTGCAAGGAGCACCGGCCCTTCAGAGAAAGTCAGGCTGCGTTGGAAAGTCTTGACCGTTTTCCAGCAGACACAGGGCCTGCAGAGTTGGCACCGGCTTCCAGCTGGTGGCCCCAGCCGAAGCCAAGCTGGTCAGATGCGGTCTGTTATTAAACCAAGTGGCAGATTGTCCGACAATCTGCTGCCCACCCTGGGAATAAGCAGCTAACACAGGGATGAAGGATGGCACTTAGAGGCTTTTACTCGACATCTTTTTTTCTCTCTTTTTAATCCCTAGAGCGACAATGCGTTCAGAGGACTCCCAACCTCAATTTAATCAAATTGCCATCAAAAAAGGAGCCGAGAATGGAAATTTTCCTCTTCTTTCTCGCAACATGCCACCATTAGCGAATTTTACTGCCCTTCAAGGATTGCCTATTTGCTTTTAGGGGCTACCAGTGTGCATGCATGTGCAGTCCACCGCTATTTTTTTTTTTTAATTCCCTTCCCAGCCAGCTGTGGTGCGTCAATAATTACAACGATAACAAGGATTACACCATCTCGACCTTTAGCAATCTGCACAGCAATCGGTGTCTGCTAACCCCAGGCCGCGGATATCCGGCTCTTGACCTTGCGTGCTCTCCGTGTTCAGATTCCTGCGTGAATCGTGAATTTGTGGAATGTACAAACTTCAGTTTTTGTGATGCTGGATGCGGGCAAAATCCCCGACTTCAACAATCAAGATTGGAGTGTCGGTTTGTCCGTGATTATTTGCTTTCAGTGGGTCTTGTCAGCAACATCAGACGTTTGCATAATTTGTGGCTTTTAATAATTAATTTCCTGCGGAAGACAGCCCTTGTATGCCAGAGCAAATTATTCTGAAAGCAAGTTAATTTTTTATGAAGCTGATCATAATATCATCATTGGTTTTCGTAAGCATCGCATCAGATCTTTTCTAGCCAGAAATCAAATTATGAAACCCACTGGATCATTTGTAAGGTTTCTTTGAACCTGGGGGGGGGGAACATTGGACATAAAATATATGGCTTTATATTTTACAGTTAAGTATTTCCACTTGGTACACATTTTTCTGTAAATACAATAGAGGTGTCTTTTTTTATTCCTGGTTTAGTTGAAGACGGAGAGGTTAAGTGCGCTTCAGTGACAAACACTCGCCTTTCTCCCCTTTAAAAAATCCTGTCAATGTTTTCCTCAGAAATGAGTGGAAATGAGATTGTAAACCGTATCACAGTCTCTGTTTGCAGACACACGGATGTGTGTGTCTCCGCCAGCTTTGACAATATGGGAACAAGCCGGCAGTAATTGTACCTCGGACAGCCAAGTGTGGCCACAGTGTGCACGTCCAAAGCCGCACAAACCTGTCCGGGAGAAGGAAATCTCTGCGTGTAAGGAAACGATTTTTGATGGACTATATCAACAGTCCCACCTGCCGAGTCTATATACTTGTACGGAGCAAGGTCCTCCTAATTTCCGTACAAATGTACATGACGTTTGATTTAGATTGATGACCGAACCAAATGCACATCGTGTAGGAACGCTGTTTGAAGATATGACTTGCTGTTTCTTAAAGAAGTTGCTGGAGATGTTGATGCTTTCCTTTCCATCGTGGAAGTATGTAATACACTTCCTGGACAAGAGTCTATTTGTTGAAATTGTCAACATTTGATTTAATCAACATTTTTTACAGATGTTTTCGAAGCATGAAGCAAGGCTTTTTGGACTTAAGATTGAATTTGTGATCAATTTCTGAACCAGAAATTTTTTTTTTCCAAAATTTAACTTTTGGTTGGAGAAAAAATTATATTAGGGTGATGTAATCTTTTAATACAAACCCTTCTCTATTTGAACCACCCCCCCGCAAAAAAAAGACAGAAGCAGAAATCAAATCAGTGACCAGGGAAATGAAGTTCCGGCCTCTCTTTTATCCAAGCCATTCTGCCCTGTTTTTTGTAGTTTTCCTTCTTGTCAATTCCTCTGTTCACGAGCTCCAGTCAAAATCCTTGAAGGCTATAAATGCCATATCATGCCGTGAGTCACGACGCTAGCAAAAGCCGCAAGTGCTGTAAGCCGGAGAAACAGCATGTAAGGATTACTCCTGTCGCAGTTCATTTGCCCAATCTTGGTCTGCTCCGCTTTATGTACAGAGCACGTAGTAACACAAACACTGCACGTTGAGGCTTTCCAAAGAGAGTACGAGAGAAAATGCGGCTGGCCAGTTAATTTTTTTTCCCCCCACAAGCTTTCAGACTGCACTTAGCAAAGTGGGTTAATGTTACTGGAGTGCCTTGGCCAAGTTTGAGGTCTGACTCGTGTGTCCAATGAACGTTCTCACAAATAGTTCTACTAATGCAATTTTAGCCATTAGTCCAGACAGGTTGGATATGTTGCGAGCGTTTTGGGTCAACTCAGGATGGTTCGTCACCTTCACCAGTTTCTGAGCACTTAGGGTTAAACATGTCGAGGGAGACATATGGTGTGGATTTTTGGTTGAGCTATTTGTGCCAAAATGGTGGCATTGGGCCGAATTTTATCCAAGGGGCTGTCACAGTCTGTTGGCCTAGAGAGCAAGGGTAGTAAAGATTTAGCACCTTAAAGTCTGTGTTGGTTGATTTAATTGGATTCAAATTACATGGGTATATGTTCTTGAAATATCTTAATATGTTGAATTAGTATTTAGACTTACAGTCTCATCCAAACAAGGGATTTTTACGCAAGTACATAAAAATAACTACTCTTCTGAACTTGAGATGGTCAAGTTAATGGGTCATTCTATAAATTGGGGGTCTAATTTTTGGTGTGTCCCTGTCACTTCTAACATATGATTTTGTAAGTTTAGAACAAATTCTGTAATTTCCAAGAGTGATGAATTAATGCAAATTACCTGCCCCTGCCAAACAAATAGGAATAGTTTGAAATCAATTTCAGTAATATTTTAATGTAAAAATACGCAGGGCGGGTGTAGCAGGGCCACAAACTGGCCACACTTTTGGACCCCTAATTTCTGGAATTACCCTAATTTCTAATTTCTAAAGATATAGTTCTGTTTTTTTTATGGGGGAACATAATTTTAAGTCCAAACATACTCTACCTGTTCTTCAAAAGGCATAATTGGAAATAAGACCCATGTGTGGGTCAGATGTTAGCCAGATGTTTTCAATCTACAATTACTGGGATTGTGTGACATTTTCATGAGGAGAGGAAGAGGAACAGGTACGATGAAGGCCCACAACGTGAATTTCAGTTTATTGGACAACCTCAGTTTTTTTTAAATGATAATCTCTGCCTTTTGACAACGCTTCCTGTCCCATCAATTTCAATAAACCCTTTCCTTAAAAACAACGATTGAAATGCGCTCTAGGGTTTGCAGTATGTTGAATGCAAAATTAAAAAATTTGTTTGCTTGCTCCCAAGGACAATTTTTTTTGGAGGGGCCGAGAAAAAAAGGTTTGTTTATTGTGCCAGCCCTGTCACTTTTGTTGTGGACACGTATATATTTATAAGTGTCTGTTGTCACCTGAAAGACCTCATTTAGTTGATTTCTTACCCTGCTTTCCTCACCAAAGAAATTTTTTTCAAGGCTGCTTTCACCATCCTCCAATATTCTACTTTTTTTTAAAGATTAAGAAAAGAGGTTCGAGAGGAAGAAGAAACGCTGGCCAACATGCCCACTCCGGAGCCAGAGACATCAACCCAGAAGGCATTGCGCGACTCCCGGCAACACCGCGAGGAAAAACCAAAGGGTACCAATGTCTTCTCAGTAGTTTCTAAGTGTCGCTGGTAAAATGAATCACGCAGTCTGTTGTTTCTGGCTCTACTACTTTGGGCCCTCTTTCTACTCAAATGCGTAGGGAACCAAACATTGACCTGACTGTCCACGGACTCCTCTGTCTTGCTTTCTGCCCATCAGCAATCGGAGGGATTGATGAAGTTAATTGCAAGTACTTTGATTTCCCCCTTATTAGTAGTTAAATTGTGATTATTAAGTTTTTCCGTCAATGAAACCAGTTTGAAGGTAGCTGAGCAGGGAAGAGGACAAAATATAACCTCCCCCCCCCAAAAAAAGAAACTGAATTTAACGTAACTTTGATATCAGGAGCCAATACATGAATGTCATGAACGTCATGAACGGCTTTGTGTGAGGATTAGTGCATACCACACATACATTCTATTCATCATGCAGCTGCGGTTTCAATGGGGGCTTGCTGCTGGACAGAGCTTTGCATACTGGGCATACCGCAGCCCAGCAGTCGCGGTCAAAAGAATCACGGCGTTAAGGGTTTAATTAATGAATTGGAATACAAAAGGTATTTACAGTGGTGATTTCGTGACCAAAAGATCTGTCTGTTCTGTTTGATAAGCAGAAAGTATGTGCCACCGTTCATTTAGCTGTAACATGATGCCCTGTCAATGAAGCCAAAGCCAAAGGAGGCCTACTGTTGGATCCTTGTTTCACAACGATTCCGCTGATTTTTTTCTGTCTCTCTTGGTTTGCCTTGGCAGGGATCGCAGAGCAGATCCTGGAGCTCCATGCTGGCATCCTCTCCCAGATGGACGAGTTACATCGGCTCCGGCAAGACCTGAAGGACAACTACGTGCCCATCTCGGTCGTCCAGAATCTAGACCAGTGCGTGCGGGACACCGAGGCCGACGTCCTCAAAGTCCTCAGCACCAATGAGTACCTGGAAAAGACCATCCAGGTAGGTCTTGAGAGGATGGCTTGTATTTTACCAATCCGAGGACAAATATTGGAAATCTGAGGACGAGGTCCTCAGAAAGGACCCTCAAAGTATTGTTTATTCTGTTGTACAGAGTAATACCTTAATTGTAACGGGCACACTGAAAACCAGGAGTGAGGCACAGTGTAGCGCACCTTCAGTATTTATCCCTTGAAAGTTTTCTTGTCGACATGAGTAACCACCCAACCCTTAGCCAGCTACCATATAGTGAATAATGGAGGACCTATGGACCTGAAAAAAATTGAATTCGTGGTACAGCATCACCTTTTGTTTAACAAGAAGTGGAAATAGCACGACCAGGTTCTGAAAGCATGGGCAAGATAAGTATGGTGCGGAGACCATTGTGGTCACCGTGTGTTGGAGTTACACAATATCGTTTTTCCTGGGACGTGGTGATTTCCCCCTTGAGGACTGGTTTGCACTGGGAATGGATACGAATGCAAATTATGCAAGTTTGCAACATCAAAGCAGAGATTTTTTGTTTATGTCAACATTTATTTCCACAGTGTAAAATATATTTGTTTAATTATACAGAAGGTTGATAAACAAGAGATTTTTGACAAAACGCAAGAAGAACAATTACGTAAGACACAAATGAAACAAAGGAGTCAATACGGATGCATATTCATAAGACAAAGTCTTATACAAAAATGTCTCATTAAGCCAAAAAACTTGACCAACAAAAGTGACAACATATCACTTCGGAAAGACAAAAATAGAGCAATCAAGACAAAATGAGCAAAACAAAAGTGAACAGACAGAGTGATTTGTGCTGAAAACTATGTGAAAGTACCATACTTGAAATTTTTGTGGGAAAAAAAGCTGATATAATAGAATGATAGAAGAGGAGATCCCCCGGCAGAGTAACCAGGACTCTACTTAAGTGAATTTCTACTGCCAATGTTCCTCAGTGTCTTCCCCGCTCCGCATTCACACCGAGCTGGAATGGTGGCCTTAGGCCGTTCAATTTGTGCCACCATGGTCACCCCAGCAAGTCACTCACACTATGCTCAGAAGTAAGGACCCACGTCAGCCTGTAAGCCGCTTATGAGCGGCTCTTGTCCGTTTACATTTTGGCAACACTAATCTGACAGCTGCTCAGCTGAGCCTAAGCCTCCCAGCCGCTAGAAGAAACAGCACTGTTGTTTGTTGGCTTCTTTTTATCCAACAGGGAAATGCCAGCCTAGGACGAACGATGCGGTTGCCCCGGGGAAATTAACAAAATGTACTTTGAAATTGGATTTCTTCTCTCTGCAGTTTCTCATTGTAGTTTCGTGTTTCTTGTGTGGAACTTTTTTAATCCATTCAAAAGCATCAGTGCAAGTTTTGTCAACACAGGCCAGAAGAACTTATTATTATGTTTTGGGAAACAGCATTGTTTGCAAGGTTTTTTTTTTACACTTTGGACAATCCTAGTTTTGATGATATCACCCCTGGTCATGAAAATATACCACCAAAGCGAGCAGATGTGCTTTGATTAAAAAAAAAAGGTCACTTTTTATTAAATCACTTCATCTGGCATTGAAGAAAAGTGAATTATTCATTGTGAAAAAAAATGAAAAGTGTGTCTTGGGGGATGATTTTACGAGGGAGGATGAATTTGTTTCTGAATTTAAGGATTTCACTTCTTTAATAGCAACAGAATAAGTAGATTTCAGATACCATTTGTAACCTTTATCTTTCTTTGTTAAAAATGCCCCTTCTTCCAGCACAAGTTTCTGGTCCTGTGTCTGCCATCCCATTGGTTTCCATTCTATGATGTTTTTTTTCCATTCCACAGCAATTGGAAGCTGACCTTGAAAAAATTATGGAGAAAACTAACACGAATCCCGATGACCAAAGGTAGGCGGAGCTCTGGGCCGAATTGTTGGGGGGGAGAGATGTGTGGCAACCAATTTTTACATTCACTACCTCGAATTCACTGCATTTGCTGATTTTATCTTTTCTTTATCGTTTGCAGAAAAATCTGGAACAGCATAAACATGTTATCCGCTCCGCCGACCGCTGGCGAAGACTAGCACCTGTAAGTTTGTACTGAGATCTTCCACTGCTCAATATACCAGGCTGAGCTCGGAGTGGGGAAGTGGGATTTTGTTGACCCCGCTACAGAGCAACTTAGCCAAAAACTGCAGATAAAAGTGGCTGGATCCAGTCTCGTACACAAAATTGGTCTTAGCTACTTTGGATCAGATTATTGAGCCTCGTTACATCTGGGGAAAAGCATTTGGGGAGACGGCGAGGACTGTAAGGTTTGGGGTTGACACTCGACTACTGAAGACATCTTCACCTGAATGATTGCACGCGGGTTTGAAGTGGGTCAACGATCCACGATATGCTCTTGGGCAAAACATGGCTGGCGAATCTCTTGTCCAACTTTCACGTTCGTTTCTCCAAAGGGCCATTTTTTTTTCTTCCTACCGTCGTAGAGATGTAATCTGTTGAGCTGATTAAGTGGGAATTGGGGCAGATAATTAAAAGATCTTTGGTCTCTCTACATCCGTCATCGTTTCTCAAGTCGTGTTTGTCTTCATGTCAGGAGTTCTCTGGCCTTCAGAATTAATTTGGTGACCTGATTAAACGGGTGGAATTGGAGTGGATAATTAAAAAAAAACATCTGTAGAAATCGTTCATGGACCTGTCATGCTAATTCCTCACCGGGGATTGTTCTGATGGTGCATGATGGGATGCTGGTGCTTCAAACACATCACACAGATTAAAAACCTTGATCATGTTGATTACATAGGTATGTATCTGCCTTTTGGTATTAGTGACTTTGGTGTAAATGGGTGAGCGGTGTACATGCTGCTTGGATGTTGTGTAAATCATTTCTGATCTTTCTTAAACCAACACACCTTCCATGAGCTATTGAACCTTCCATGAACCTGTTGAGAAAGTCAAACTGACATGTCAGGTTCTGTCCGTGGCCTCCGCTTACGAAAAACCCTGGTTTGATTCCCACCGAGCCACTTTTTCAAGTCCTCATGTGGAATGGCTAGAGTTTGCAAAGGCCATTGTTGACTGACAGAGACTGCCTCTTTAAAGCAAGGCGTGTCACTGCACATCAGTCGCTTGTGTGTGCTGATGACAATGATTAACAGCATCGTGTTGATTGCTGTCAGGCCGAGTGGGGACCAGTGGCCAAACAAGTGAAAAATGCTGTTTCTCTCTTGACTTCGACAAAAAATTCACAAGTTTAGGAGTGCTTGTGCATTTAGAATAAATGATGAAGTTGTATACAAAGTACCTCGTAACTTAAGATTTCAAATCCTTTGCTAAAGTTCTGCCTGTAAGCACAAAGAATCGATGTATCTGGAATAGATAGAAACACAAGATTTGTAAATACACATCGACATATACGTAAAAAGTCTACCTGTTATGAAACCTTACCAATTAACCACATTTTGCTTGTTTTTTATAAGTGGTCGTGGTATAATTTGCAATCATACGTCAAACATTAACGGTAATACAACAATTTTTACATCTGTGACCGAAGAATTACTTTGCAGTAGATTCCTTTTTTTAAGGTTGAGGATTTTGATTACATGTAAAGCAATGTGGCAGTTGGTGAGAAAGATTGGATTCAGGTCGGGGTTAATTTGTATTGGTTTTAATATTGGTGTCCAAACTTTCCATCATTGAAAATAAAATCACATCATTGTTATTTGCGCTATCATTCGAAAACACACCTCAAGAACAAATAATAGGTTGAAAACTGGTTGTATTTTGTATGACTTACTTTATTTCTTAACTAACAATATTAACTTATTCTCTTTTTTTTCTGTTCAAATTGTACATATTAAAATGACTACCTTTAACCGAGGGTCAATTTCATGACCCCTCTGAGGTCTAGGACCCAGAGAAGACTATAAGCAGAAAGCAGGTTACCAGGCAAAATATCACTCACAGTACACTTCCCTAGACCGATTCCTAGCCAATGTCTGTGCTTAGCACATCAAAGTGGCCGAGCACCAGTTTCTGCTTGGCTGCTCAACCAAATCAGGTCCCTGCTGTACAAACAGGGACACTGTGCGAAACTTGAGGGCTCAAGTGTTCTCATCCTCAAGTGTGTAAGGAGATTTTGCTGCTGTAGGAATATTCTACTTCTGGAGTTAGCATGCCCTGTGTTGTAGTAAGTGGAGGGGTGTGTTTTGAATTGGCTCTTGAGGAATTTCACCTTTTATCTTTGACCAAATGAAATACTATGAACGTTGTATGTCCACGTTAGAAATTTGGCAGGTACTTTTAAGTATTCAACTTTAGAAAATGAAATAAAAAGGACCTAGAAAATCTTACTGCTTATAACCACAAGGGTCATTAGTGTGTGTGGCATTTCACAGAACCTGTTCATGGAATACAGAAGATGTTACTGTTTACCAAAAAATGAGTCACTTGGGAGACATTCGCATAGGAACGTGCACAAACTTTACTGTCCCATAATTCAATATTCCCTAATCTGATCTGAACCAAACTTTGTATGTTTTCATTTTAGACCCTAATCTATCATCTCTCAAAATTTGGACAGTAAAATTCGGCCTCCTTCTGGTAGTTGGAGCATTAATGTCTCGCTAATGACTGATGTCTCCCTAAGGTTGAAAAATTTACCACAAAATGTCTCCCTAATGACCCATTTGTAAGAATACAACTTCATATTTCATTGATGTTACAAAATTTATTCAAATGATACTTTTCCCTGAGACAAATGCAATGAATTCCTCCAAAAATGTACCCCGCTCAAGCTTAAATTCCTGACAGTGCAACAAAACTCCAGACGTGCCCAGAAAATAAGCATAACCCACAGTGAGCAGAATTCTTAGCAAGTCATTAATTGACAGGAACCGTATCTCCATTACGCCCAGGGCCCATGCTGGATGGGAAGAGAGCAACAGTCAATTACACATCACAAAAACCATCTCAGCTGAACTCATTCCTTTAGGGCAAATCCGAGTTAAACAGCTCTTCATCAACACCTCTCCCAGGCTTGGCTGGGCATCTGCTTCAATACAACACCTTTAGTGCCATCTGTTTCCACGGCAACGCATCGGCAGTTGCTCATCAGGTGTGATGTACCTCAAGCCTCTGAGCATCAAGTTGGTCTAGGTGACAAAATGCTCAGACCCAAACAGATTAAAGGCCGATACCCAGACAGAGAGGATAGTTTCTTTTAATACCCGGAAGGTCTTTAAGCTTTAACCCTTATTCTGACAGCTTAAAAACTCAGTAGTTGGCCTCGTCAAAAGCCTTCCGGGCCTTCTTGAGCTCCTCATTCATCATCAACAGTTCCTTGACTCGGGCGTACTTGCGGGAATCCTTGCGGATAAGGAAGATTATGTCCTCAACTTGTACCCGCCCTGGCCGACCTACCTCCATGGCTTTCAACGTCTTGGGTAACGAAAAAATAAACAGAAAAATTATATAAAGAACAGCAGACAAAGAAAAAAGAGGATAAAAAACCTGATTTTTCTCGCCATATTCCTCCCAATCTTCACCTCATTGGCAACATATCTTTGGCTCACTTTAGAATCGGGATGATCGTATCTTACCATATCCGTGATGAAGTCCAGTACTAAGTCTTCTAGCAAGTCCACCGTCTCGGTGTAAGGGTTCTGGTCGTCGCCAAAGCCATACATCATGCATCGCACTGTTAACAAAGAGAATCGGTCAACAGCCCAGAACAGAAATGAATTGACAAATTCTTCTAGGCCAGAACCGGTCCGAAAAAGTGATCAGTCTTGGGGCCTAAGTGATTTGAGAGGAAAAGTTGGCATAAAGGCATCACTTTCATTCTGCACAATAGGCCTACACATGAAGACCGAACTTCCACACTGTCAAGCTGTTGTCCTTGGCTGGGAAATTCAGGAAAACGGTAGGCTTATCAGTCAAAAATCATTTTCACGGGCTTAATGAAATTTAACGATTTCCTGGGTAATATTAACTTGAATATTACTGCACGACTCACCTATACATGTACAGTTATTTGCATTATTGAACAATTTGTTGTCGCTAGCATACACTTCATGAATTGCTGAGTAGGTGGGTCATTCTACAAATCTGGGGTCCAATTTCTTTCCCGTCCCTGTTACGTCTGGCATGTGATTTTTTAATGTTTCGAACTCATTGTTCAATTCCAAGATTGAATAAGTACTGCAAATGACCTGCCAGACAAAAAACAGTTTGAAATCAGTTTCTGTGATACATCATACATGTACATCCCTTGTCAAACGTGTCAGATTGGTACACATGTCAGAGGTTACAGGGACAGAAAAATGTCACATTTTGGACCCCAAATTTATAGAATGACCCAGGTACGAGGTGAAGGCGATAGTCGTCATGTTAGTTGCATAGAGGTCAGAGGTCAGCACACAATAAATAGACTCACACTCTTTGGAGAACATTCTCTTCTTTCTCCCAGTTACATCGGAGCCTTGGTCCGTCTCGCTGGCTGATGCATGGTCGCTGCTCTCTTGAAAGAAATCATCGGATGCCTGGAAAGGTCAGTGATAATGAGATTTTCAATTTTAAAATCTTGATAGAACTGATTGATGAGGACGCTGTTGATGATTCAGAAGACGCAGAGAGGCAACTTGTGCTGGGACTAGTACCTCTGCCCTGGCACGTCTTTTTATTCATCAAAATATCTACCTTCACGCAGACCAAATCTATTCTCTACTTGGTAATACCCTCACTATAGTTTAATATGTACAACAACGATATTTTAAACAAAAGGTGCATTGACAATCGCGTAACAAATCGGACGACAAACATAACTGATATTTCCTACCTCACTCGGATCCGCCATTTTGTTATTCCCATATTGCTAGAGGGCGCCCTTCTCAGTCGCCTTACGCAAAATCATTACAATAATTGCTCAGCTCGCGTACCGCGTACATTGTGTGTGCACCTATGATGTAATCAACTGGCACGCGGGCTAGCACCGGGGCTAGCGCAACATAACAGGAGCCGGAGATCACAGCTTGAGCCTGTAAAGTCCTAATTGCTTCGTCTCCTAGTCCTAACTTGAACCCAAAATGCCAGAGCCGATAGAAATCCCAACTGAAGCCGCGGCACTAGAGAGGACCGAGGAGAAGCCGAAACTGAAGCCGTGCTGCGCCTGTCCGGAGACCAAGAAAGCGAGAGATGCGTGGTGAGACAACCCATAGGCCGTATCATGGTTAAACACTTAATTTAATCCCGTTGAAACCGGTCCGCCATTGTTTGCTGGCGCTCGAGGGGCCCGTTGGACCTTGCAAAAAGTCTGACCGCCCTGGATAAGACTGACCACTGGCTAGTAAAAGCCAGACGCGCTGGGGATACCCCAACAGTTCTTGAGGTACGCTGAGGACTTTGTGTGTAACTTGGATATTTGCTCGAGCAG